GTGTTTTAATATGATATAAATTATATCATTATAAATTTTAATATGATATAATATATAAATATGATATAAATTTATGATATAAATTTTCTAATATGATATTAGAAAAAATTATATAGAGGTGGAGTCTCACGATATTGACCAGGCTGGTCTTGAACTCCTGGATTCCAGTGAGCCATCTAGGCTTCCCAAAGTGCTGGGATTACCGGTGTGGGCCACTGTGCCTGTCCCAGTGGCAAGGTTTAAATACCTATGTATTATACATGATAACTCACTGAATTATCACAATAACTCTTAGGGGTAGATGTGATTTTTTTTTCCTTGAGAAAGGATCTCATGATGTTGTCCAGACTGGTTTTGAACTCCTGGGCTCAAGTGATCCTGCTGTCTCAGCCTCCCAAATAGCTGGGGCTATAAGCACGTGCCATAGAGCCTGGCTCAGATAGATATTATTTTTATTCGTATTTTAAAAAGAATGAAACTGAGGCACAGAGATGTTAGGCCACATGCTCAAAGGCACACAGCAAAGAAATTGCAGAGCTGATTATTTGAACCCAGGCTGTCTGGTTCCAAAGCTGAAGTTATGAGACAGAGGCTCAACCTGAGTGCAGAATCTGGTTGAGGCAGTGGTATAACTTTATTTTAATTAATTAATGTATTTATGTTTTGTGAGACGGAGTCTTGCTCTGTCACCCAGGCTGGAATGCAGTGGCATAATCTTGGCTCACTGCAACCTCCACCTCCTAGGTTCAAGCAATTCTCCTGCCTCAGCCTCCCAAGTAGCTGGGATTACAGGAGCCCGCCACCATGCCTGGCTAATGTTTGTATTTTTAGTAGAGATGGGGTCTTACCATGTTGACCAGGCTGGTCTCGAACTCCTGACCTCAGTGATCCGCTGGCCTCGGCCTCCCAAAGTGCTGGGATTACAGGCGTGAGCCACCACACCCGGCCAACAGTGGTATAATTTTAAATCTGAATTCAATCTGAATGAGCTGACATTTAAAAATTGGGAGATTTCTTTTCTTTTGAGACAGAGTCTTGCTCTGTTGCCCAGGTTGGAGTGCAGTGGCGTGATCTCGGCTCACTGCCACCTCTGCCTCCCGAGTACAAGTGATTCTCCTGCCTCAGCCTCTCAAGCAGCTGGGACTATAGGCGTGTGCCACCATGCCCAACTAATATTTGTATTTTTAGTACAGACAGGGTTTCACCATATTAACCAGGTTGGTCTCAAACTCCTGACCTCATGATCCACCCACCTCAGCCTCCCAAAGTGCTGGGATTATAGGCATGAGCCACCATGCCCGGCCAAAATTGGGAGATTTCACCTAAAACATCCTGTTTGGACTTTTTTTTTCCCCTCAGGAAATGAGATCTAGGCCCACCCTCCTGCCCAGTGAGCCTGTGGCTGCCTCCCATCATCACAGAACTTGAGGGAGTGATGATGTTATGCTGTCCTACCTTTGAGAGGTGTTTGCTCTGCCTTTCTGACTGGTGGGAGCTCTGGCTCTAGTGCTCAGAGCCAGGAGGGGACACCTGGGAACTTGCCTGACCAGTCCAGGGACTTCCTGAGAAGGTCAGGAGACACAGGGATTCAAACATAGCTCAGAGGAAAGACAGAGTGAGGGTGGGGAAGGGAGTAGCTGAGATTGCAGCAAAGCCTTGGGCGGATGCAGAGGGTACGGATCTCTCCCCAGGCCCAGCTTCTCTCCTGAACCCCCGACTTGGGCCTGAAGCCTCCCTCTCAAGGGTCGCCTCACTGTCGCCTAGTTCCTCCCTGTACCTCACCATGAATACCCCTCTCTCTCCCCTACCCCAGCCCAGCAATCCCATGACCTGTCCACTAGGCCTCCCTAGTGTCTCTCCCACCTACCTCCTCTCCACTCTATCCATGCTGGTCCAGACCTTTGCTCCCCCTGGGCTCCCACCTCAGCGTCCCCTTCTGATCCACCCTCCACAAGGCAGCCAGGGGAATCTTCCAGAAAAATAACAAACCTGACCCTGATCTTCCCCTGCTTGGAACCTTCCATTGGAACCTTCCATGACTCTGCAGCACCCAGGGGTGGAGTCTGCACTCCTCAGCCTGGTACTAAGAGATGTATACCTTCCCTCACCATCATTTGTGGTCAGACCCACTTCACTTTTCTTTCTTTTTTTTTCTTTTCTTTTCTTCTTTCTTTCTTTTTCTTTCTTTTCTTCCTTCCTTTTCTTTCTTTCTCCTTTCCTTTTCCTTTCCTTTCCTTTTTCCTTCCTTTATTCTTCCTTCCTTCCCTCCCTCCCTTTTCTTTCTTTCTCTCTCTCTCTTCCTTCGTTTTTTGGTTTTTTCTTTGTTTGTTTGTTTGTTTTTTCAGGGTCTCAATCTATCACCCAGGCTGGAGTGCAGTGGTGTGATCTCAGCTCACTGCAACCTCCACCTCCCCGGCTCCAGCGATCTTCCTGCCTCAGCCTCCTGAGTAGCTGGGACTAGAGGCTCGTGCCACCACACCTGGCTAATTTTCTTTCTTTCTTTTTTTTTTTTTTTTTTTTTTTGTATTTTTTATAGAGACAGGGTTTTGCCATGTTGCCCAGGCTGGTCTAAAACTCCTGACCTCAAGTGATCTGCCGGCCTCGGCCTCCCAAAGTGTTGGGATTACAGGCGTGAGCCACCGCACCTGGCCTGCCACTTTGTTTTGATAACACTTTTGCCATGGGACATCCTACATCATTTTACTATTATCTTTCTGTCTAAATTCTGCACCCCTCCCACTGCCCTTACCATGCCAGGCCTGCGATCCGGTCAGCTCTGCCCCAACCCAAAATGATCTAAGTTTCAGTTTCCCCAATGACCACAATTCCTATTTCCTAGGATTACTGGAATATAGTGACTGTGAGGATTAAGAGTGCCTGTACTTCAGGCTCACAGCAAGTATGTGTGACTGATCACTGCTGGAAATGGGGAAACTGAGGGGAAGCCAAGAAAAGAGAACTTCTCGGCCGGGCGCGGGGGCTCACGCCTGTAATCTTAGCACTTTAGGAAGCTAAGGCGGGAGGATCACTTGAGGTCAGGAGTTCGAGACCAGCCTGGGCAATATAGCGATACTCCGTCTCTACTTAAATATTTAAAAAATTTAGATTAAAAAAAAGAGAAAAGGGCCCCTCTCAGAGTTACCGGCTCAGGATTCCCCATATCTTACCACGCACCGCACTGCCTGAGCCACCACCATTCAATCTCAAAGCGACTTCAAGCGCAGACCGGGAGGGTGTGAAGGTGGCAGCCAACGCTCGCTGCCTGATACAGCGATTGTCAGGTGGGCTGCAGGGAAAAGTCGTGCAGTCCTCTTTCCGCGATACTCCCTTCTACCGGGACTCCACACCCTGTCAACCCGATGGTCCCGACAGGCCCCCGACGTCAGGGTCCTCACCTGATTTCTCCACTTTCACCTTCACGGGGAACATGGTTTGGGTCCAGGATCTGGCTAGCTGGGTCAGAGGCGCCCCAAAGGGCCTAGGGTCACAAATCAAGGCGGGAGGCGGGCGGGGACAGTTCAAAGATGAGCTTCGTGGGCCACAGCTCCTCCGCCTTTGGTTGTGTTCAGCCTGGACCATGGCCACCACCCTTCTGTGGGCGGGCCCCTTCGGCAGCAGCTTGCTCCTATTAGTTAATGCAGTCGTCAATCTTACATCCTGACCAATTGAGAGCTGCCTCCGTAGTCTCCCAGCTTTAGGTCCCACCCTCCTGGGGCTTTGCTTCCGGAAACAAACCATCGACCACCAAGCTTCCTGGGAGGTGTAGTTCCAGGTTCCCAGACCCACCCGGAGTAACAGCGCCTGCGCCGCGCGGGGCACGGTGGGAAACAAAGGATTAGGGCATCGCGAGGCTTCCCGGGACTTGTAGTGTTAGAAGGGTTGAGCAACACCAATTTAGCTCTTTACCATATTTAACCAACCGTTGGAGTCCCTTCATCCCTAAGAGGAAGACTAATGTAAAATAACGTTGGGTTCCCTTTCACTGAGCACTCTCTAGGTGACAGGTACCAGTTAATCTCTTTGCAGGTACAACTTCATTCATTTTGCAAATATTTATTAGTATGCCGGGCACTCTTCTAGGCATTGGGGACACCTTGAGGAACAGAACAGACAAAAATCCCTGCCCTAATAGGGCTTATCTTTTAAAGGATGGAAGATAAACAGTAAACAAGTAAAACATTCTAAGTGAAATGTAATAGGAGAAAGAATATAGTCTGGGCAGGGCATGGTGGCCCACACCTGTAAGTATCAGCCCTTTGGGAGGCCGAGGTGGGCAGATCACCTGCGACCAGGAGTTCGAGACCAGCCTGGCCAACATGGTGAAACCCCGTCTCTACCAAAAATACAAAAATTAGCCGGGACTGATGGCATGCCCCTGTAATTCCAGCTACTCCAGAGGCTGAGGCAGGAGAATCGCTTGAACCCGGGAGGCGTAGGTTGCAGTGAGCTGAGATCGCACTTCTGCACTCCAGCCTGAGTGACAGAGCAAGACTCCATCTCGAAAAACAGACAACAACAAATCCCCAGCCCCCCACCAAAAAAAAAAAAAAAAAAAAAAAAAACCCACAAAAAAAGTGTAGCCTTAAACGGACATAGGAATATCAAGGTGGTGATTGAATTTTAAATAAGATGGATGGTCAAGGAAGGATTCTCTGAGAAAGCTCTTGACTATTTTTATTTTTGCAGACAACACTTCCTTCAGAAAACGGGAAACTTGGATTTATCACACATCTTGGTCCAAATAAATCCTAGGAGGTAGCATTGTGATCTACACTTCTGATGAGAATACTGAAGCCCACAGTAGGAAAGTTATGTTTTTGAATTCACGACTACCAGTACAGGGTAACAGCCCCTAGAAATGGAAGCACTAGACCAGTTGTACCACTGCATTCCCGCCTGGGCAACAGAGCAAGACTGTCTCAAAAAAAAAAAAAAAAAAAAAGCAACGGAAGCACTATTCCTTTCTTAGTTCCTCATCTAATAGTTTCCTGCGCAGGAAAGTTCCTAGTTCAGAAGATTACGAGTAGTATTTACTGTAAAAAATGTACATCATGTCTAAATACTAAGCCTGGCACAAAGCACTCAACAAATGTTTTTAAATGTTAATGATCATTTATGCCTCAACCTCTAAAAGATCCCAGGAAGTCAGTATCGAAAGTTAGGGTCCTTTATTGGGTGATGTCAGCAGAGAACAGGGGAGATGAAAACAAGTCTTAGGAGTTTGAGAAGGGGCTCCCAGGACAGGCTCCTCTGCTCTAAGGAGCCTGTCCTGGGAGAATGAGCAGGGTTCCAGTCTGTGCAGAAGTTGTCAGGGGGTGCCCAGAGGTATGGTGAAGGAGAGGTAGTCCCCAAGGGCACCCCAGCGGGGCCGGTAGATCTGGAAGATGGTGATCCAGGAGGTGAGCACTATCACCCAGAAGAGGAAGCCCACAGCTGAGCGCCAGACATCTGTCATGGGAAACAGAAGTGGGAAGGGTTGGCCTCCTGCTGCTCTCCAGACTTCCCTAGACCAGCCTTCCCTTCTCACCCAGAGCCCCAAAATTCTGGATCCTCCATTGTCCCTTCCCACCAAGACTCCCCCGCTTCCCCCTCTCCCCAGCCACTGGCGTCCCTCCTCTGTACTCTGGACTCACAGCCTTTGATTTGGCTCTGTTCTGTGTAGGCTGGGACAAGGAAGGCCTCTCGGAAGAACCAGAAGATGTTGACCAACCAGAGAAAAGGCAGGAAAGCAAACCCACCTAGGGAGAAAGAAAAAAAAAACACACAAACCCTAAAACCTCATAAGGCAATGAAGATCTCCAACTTCCACCCAGATCTATTTGGAAGAAACTCTCCCACACTCAAGTTCAAATGGAGATTTCTGCTGTCAGGGACTCAGGAATCTGCCTCCTCTTTGGGATCCAGCAATCTGATTCCTCAACCATCTCTTTCGCTGGACCCAAGAGTCCAGGCCCTCAATCCCCCTCCTCTCTTGGGATCCAGAAACTGACGCCCCAGCTTCCTCATTCCTCAGGACCCAGGCCCTCCCCGCTCAAATCCAGGAGTTGGCGTTCACAGGTGCTTCATCTCTTAGACTCACGAATCCAGGCCCCGAGGCCCTCTTCCCTCGGGTGCTCTAGTCCAGTCCCCTCTCTTTTCCTGGGACCCTAGTGATCTGCCCTTACCCAGGTAGTACTTCCGGCACAGGTTCAACTTCTCCTCATTGGACACTCGCTCCAGGTTCATAGCTGCGCTGGGGCCGGGTCGTCCCAAGGGTCTGCGGGGCAAGACCCAAGCCTTGACCCTAAGTAACAGATGCAAGGATCACGAACAACCACGCCCCTATTACAACAAATCAGAGATAAATGTAAAGGTGGGTTTGCTAAAAGCAGAGCATCCCCGCCCCCACTAGCAAGCTGGCTGGATTAAAGAGCTCTTTATATTTACTAGGGTGGGCGAAACGACCCCCAACTTACCGGGAGAGCTCACTTCCTCCGGCTGGGATGCCTTAGCCACTTTCAGTTACGGACGTATGCGCGAGATGCCCCAGGTTTCCCTGGAGATTGTAGTCTTCTTTGGGCGAGGCAACACTGCACGCATGCGTCGTTGAGAGAATTCCTGCCGGGGAGTCGCGCGTCTCCCACGCGCAAGCGCCCTGGGGCGTTTCCGAGAGCTTGGTAAGCGCCTGGAGGGAGCAACGAACTACACTTCCCAGCGCTCCTAAGCAACGGAAGTGATGTAAGAGCAGCCAGAACTGGAGGGCTTGGGTAAAAATGGGTGAATATTTAGTTTCGATATTCGGAACTGAGAAGGATAAGTGAGAACGGGCGCTGGGAGTGGACTCTCGGGGGGTCGAGGCCGGGGTACTGGGGTCCTGGGTGGTGGGGCGGTGTTTCTGGGGTGTCCCGCCTCCCCAGCCCTCGGTTCACCTCTGTCTTTGCACCTCTTCCAGGGTTAACTGCTCTTTTTACTTTAAGATCGGGGCCTGCCGGCACGGAGACCGGTGCTCCCGGCTTCACAACAAGCCGACATTCAGCCAGGTGAGACCCGGCACGGAGCTTCTGGAGTTAACGCCTCCTTGGCCCTTCCTCTTCTGGGGCCGTAGTCACCATGTCCCGCCTATTCCGAGTTCCTGAGGCCCTCCCTACCGCCCGGCTTTTTTTCTGATTGGACCTTTCTGCAGGCTCCTCCCACCAGTCTTCCTGCCCGTCTCCTGGGAACTTGGTCGCGCCCCCCTGCGTACACCCTACACACCGCGGCTGTTCGTCCTTGTCAGTCCCCTCCATCCCGTTTCTGGTTTCTTAGGGGAAAAGGATCGCCGATGCACTCACCATGCTTAGGCTGGGGTGCAAGGTTCCACCCCCAACCTTCATGCCTCACTCTCTTTGCATGCAGCCCTGCCCTCTGAGCTCAGGCCCCGCCCCTTTTAAATTCTGTGCAGACCATAGTGCTGCTCAACCTGTACCGGAATCCACAGAATACAGCCCAAACTGCAGACGGATCACACTGTGAGTAAGGGACCAGGCCTGGGGGCAAGGTGAATAGTCCTCAGTAGGCTACGCCCTGATTCCACCCTACCCCCCTCCCCCAGGTCATGTGAGCGACGTGGAGGTGCAGGAGCACTATGATAGCTTCTTCGAGGTGAGGGTTGGCAGGGGTAGGTTGGGTTTCTTGTGGGAGCTCAGCTGAGTTCCTCTCCGTCTTCCACAGGAGGTGTTCACAGAATTGCAGGAGAAGTATGGGGAGATTGAAGAGATGAATATGTGCGACGACCTTGGGGACCACCTCGTGGGCAACGTCTATGTCAAGGTGCTTGCTGTCCCCCACTTAGGGCCCAGAGATGGAGGCATTTCAATGCCTGATGGTGACCACTGAAGGCTCTCAGCTTGAAGTTCATCACTAAATCCAGTCCAGCCCCAGAGCTGCTAATGAGTACCCTGAAGATCTCTGAGTTCTCCTGCTGATCTCGACTGACGTTTCCTGCAGTTCCGGCGGGAAGAGGATGCAGAGCGGGCCGTGGCTGAACTCAATAACCGCTGGTTCAATGGGCAGGCTGTGCACGCTGAACTGTCTCCTGTCACTGACTTTCGGGAGTCATGCTGTCGCCAGTATGAGATGGGGTATGGTAGTTCAAGGGTGGGATGGGCACTTGGAATCCCAGACTTTGAATGTGTGGTAGGGACTGTCAGTGACAATGGCCTCCTCCATCTCTCTACGCAGGGAATGTACCCGAGGTGGCTTCTGCAACTTCATGCATCTGCGGCCCATTTCCCAGAACCTCCGGAGGCAGGTCTATGGGCGGGGACCCAGGCGCAGGTACCTCAGGACCAGCCTGCTGTGTCTCCTCATGTCCTAAGGCCCCTATATCCTCAGATGAGCCTGACCCTAAGCCCTAGTAACAACGTTCCCAAGACTCTTTTTTTTTTTTTTTTTTTTTTTTTTTGAGATGGAGACTCGCTCTGTCGCCCGGCCTGGAGTGCAGTGGCATGATCTTGGCTCACTGCAACCTCTGCCTCCCAGGTTCAAGCAATTCTCTGCCTCAGCCTCCCAAGTAGCTGGGATTACAGGTGCCTGCCACCATGCCCGTCTAATTTTTGTATTTTTAGTAGAGACGGGGTTTCACCATCATGGCCAGGCTGGTCTGAACTCCTAACCTCGTGATCCACCTGCCTCACTCTCCCAAAGTGCTGGGATTACAGGTGTGAGCCACTACTCCTGGCTGACTCTTTTTTTTTTTTTTTTTTGAGACGGAGTTTTGCTCTTCTTCCCTAGGCTGGAGTGCAAAGGCACGGTCTCGGCTCACTGCAACCTCTGCCTCCCAGGTTCAAGCAATTCCCCTTTCTCAGCCTTCCAAGTAGCTGGGATTACAGGTGCCCACCACCACGCCTGGCTAATTTTTGTATTTTTAGTAGAGACGGGGTTTCACCATGTTGGCCAGGCTGGTCTCGAACTCCTGACCTCAGGTAATCCACCCATCTTGGCCTCCCAAAGTGTGGGGATTACAGGCGCCTGGTCATTCCCAAGACTCTTACACCCTAAGAGTAGTTCTGAGCCCCATCTGGAGACCAGTACCTAAGTCCCAATCCCCAAACCAGCCTGAACCCCTAATCCACGACTAGCCTGGCCTGATACTGGCCACTGAGTACCAGTCTGATACTGGCCACTGAGTACCCCGATGCTGGCCACTGAGGCCATGTCTTAGAACTCTAGTTATTTCAGCACCCTCCTGCCTCATCCCAGAGCAGAGAGGCAGGCCTGCAGGATCTCTGCACCACTCCTCAGCATTCTAACCTAACTCTCAACACTCCTATTCCCGGGTCACCCCCGAGGTTCCATACTAGCCACTGTCCCCGAGAGGGGAACCGTCGGCGTTCCCCTGATCACCGGCATGGCCGCTTCTGAGGCCCTGGCCCCCTTACCCTCTTACTCTTCACCCCGGACAGGGACAAATATTTCTGGCAGGACCTCTCCTCAAAGCCCCCTTCACTCTCCTGGCCCATCTTTCCCAGGCTCCTGGGCTCCATAATGTAATCTGTTCAGCATGGAGACTTTCTTCTACCGCCCTTGTCTTGATAAAGCTCTGTGTTTTGCTTCGGTATCAACTTGCTTTTGCTGTGGTTTGGCATTTCCCTCCACCCACACATGTGACGAAAAGGGGAAACAAGACTGGGTCCCGGCCACAACTTCAGCTGAGGAACTTGGCACGGGCAGCTTGGGACCCAGGACCCTAACGGTACTGGTAGGGTGGGGACACCTTTGTGCTGAAAACCTTAGCACCTCCATCTGAGGCTTATTCAAGGGGGAGAGACCTGGTTGTGGCAGGTGGGAGGAGTCCTAGCCCCAAGGAGATGAGGATTGGAAGGTGAGGTGAGGTGAGGTGCTGGGAGGTGGTCTCAGTCAGTACAGGGCTGTCTCCTCCGTCCCTGCCAAATTGAGATGGGAGTGAGTAATGCCTTACACTTAAACATTGAGTTTACTATATGTGAGGTGCTATTTCCAGCACTTTAGCTTGTTTGTTTTGTTTTTTTTAAAGAGTTTCACTCTTGGCCGGGCTCAGTGGCTCAAGCCTGTAATCCCAGCACTTTGGGAGGCCGAGACCATCCTGGCTAACATAGTGAAACCCCGTCTCTACTAAAAAATACATAAAACTAGCCAGGCGAGGTGGCGGGCGCCTGTAGTTCCAGCTACTCAGGAGGCTGAGGCAGGAGAATGGCATGAACCCGGGAGGTAGAGCTTGCAGTGAGCTGAGATCCGGCCACTGCACTCCAGCCTGGGCGACAGAGCGAGACTCCATCTCAAAAAAAAAAAAAAAAAAAAAAAAAAAGAGTTTCACTCTTGTTGCCCAGGCTGGAGTGCAATGGCACGATTTCAGCTCACTGCAGCCTCCACCTCCCAGATTCAAGCAATTCTCCTGCCTCAGCCTCCCAAGTAGCTGGAATTTACAGGCATGCGCTATCACGCCCAGCTAATTTTGTATTTTTAATAGAAACAGCGTTTCACCATGTAGGCCAGGCTGGTTTTGAACTACTGACTTCAGGTGATCCACCCACCTTGGCCTCCCAAAGTGTTGGGATTACAGGCGTGAGCCACTGCGCCCGGCAGCCAGTTTTTTTGGTTTTGTTTTTAGAGATGAGGTCTTACTGTATTGCCCAGGCTGGTCTATAATTTGTGGCTCAAGCAATCCTCCCACCTTGGCCTCCCTAGTAGCAGGGACTACAGATGTGAGCCACTGCACTTGGCAAAGTGCTTTGCTTTTTTTTTTTTTTTTTTTTTTTTTAAGAGACGGGGTTTCATTTTGTTGTCCAGGCTGATCTCTCGAACTCCTGGGCTCAAGTGGTCCTCCTGTCTTGGCCTCCCGAAGTGTTGGGATTACAGGCATGAGCCACCGCACCCAGCCCCTGCTTTACTTCTAATAACGGTTCTAATTCTCCACAATAACCCTATGAGACAGGTGCTATTATTGTCTCATTTTAGGGATGGAAAAGGGAAGGTGGGTGGGTGAGGAAATGGCAGAGGTGGGATATGCATTCTTGCAATCTAGATCCGCAGTGCTCTCTCTTAGTCCCCTTTTGGCTTTGTGGGCTTCTCTGATAACCGGCTCAGTTGGGGGATGGGGACTCGAGGGTAGATTCCCGGCTTCCGAAGAGGCGTGGGAATTCTGTTCCCCGACATCATCGCGTCCTTTCTTCTGCTCGGTTTCCCCGGAAAGTGTGGCAGAGGCTCTGTGTTTGGAGGTCCCGCTATCACGGCCCCCCAGATGGGGCCTGGACGATGCCTCCTGACGGCCTTGCTGCTTCTGGCTCTGGCGTCACTGCCGGAAGCCTCCCAGTACTGCGGCCGCCTTGAATACTGGAACCCAGACAACAAGTGCTGCAGCAGCTGCCTGCATCGCTTCGGGCCGCCCCCCTGCCCGGGTGAGAATCCGAGACCCAGCCTTGCTTGGGAGTTTGCAGGTGATAGGGAGCGGGGAAGGCGTGAGGTCTGTGGGCTACGGGCCAGAGTCTTGCTTAGGGGTCTAAGCGGTGGGCCTTATGTAGATCACACAGGGATGGCAGGCAGAGCCTGTGCAGATAGTGCGGGCTACCGCAAGGCAACAGCGAAGGGATATGACTGGAGAGGCGGGATAGGGGCCCGGTGGAAAGGGTGGGCTTTATGTAGATAAACCGGGAGTGGGCGGAGCTCGGAGCGGAGCAGGCGGGGAATGAAAAGGCGAGCCCGGAGAAAAGTGACAGGAGCGGAGCGCACGCTGATAGGCTGGGAGCGTCCTGGAGGGGCGGGGCACGCTGGGATAGGGCGAAGGGAGAGGGCGTTGCCTGAGCAGGGGCGGGCTAGACGGCCGCGCTGGAGAGCAGCTTTCCCGCTAGACTATGAGTTCCGGGAAAACTGCGGGCTCAATGACCACGGCGATTTCGTAACGCTCCCGTTCCGAGAGTGTTCTTCTGGGCAGTGCAACCCCGACGGTGCGGAGCTATGTAGCCCCTGCGGCGGCGGAGCCGTGACCCCTACTCCCGCCGCGGGCGGGGGCAGAACCCTGAGGCGCTGCAGAGAGGTGCGGATGGGACTCCCGGCCGGGCAAGGGCGTGCCCCCGGAGGTGGGGGGCCTAGATGTAGGGAAAGGGCGTAGCCCCACGTAAGGGGTGGGGCCGTGGTTTCGGGAGGTGACTGGCCTGCAGGGGTCGGGAGCTCCTAGGTTAAGGTAGTTGGGCCTTGCGGGGCCCAACTACCTTATCAGGTACCATGTCAGATGGGATGTGGCCCCATTAAAGGGTATAAATATGGAAAGTTTGGGAGCGGGCAGGAGTGGAGTGTGGCCTCCAGCTTTACTCCAACCCCTTATCCCCAGAGGCCGGTCCCTGCCAAGGGGCCCTGCCCCCTCACAACTGGAAACCCAGGCGGCCCTAGCTCCCAGGAGCGCAGCTCACCAGCAAGTTCCATTGCCTGGAGGACCCCTGAGCCCATCCCTCAGCAGGCCTTGCCGACTTTCCTCCCGCTATTGGTGCTGGTCCTGCTCCTGACCTTGGCGGTGATAGCGATCCTCCTGTTCATTCTGCTCTGGCACCTCTGCCGGCCCAAGGAGAAAGCCGACCCGTATCCCTATCCTGGCTTGGTCTGCGGAGTCCCCAACACCCACGCCCCTTCCTCCTCGCATCTGTCCTCCCCAGGCGCCCTGGAGACAGGGGACACATGGAAGGCCTCTCTACTTCCACTTCTGAGCAGGGGTTAGTCCTGGAGGAGCCCCGGGGCGGGGAAGGTGGACTGGACGCCCACCCTTCCTCCCCTTTACCCTTCCCCTTTCTTCCAGAACTGCCCGGTCTGGGGTCACAGCCCCTGTCTCGCCTCCTGGATGAGCTGGAGGTGCTGGAAGAGCTGATTGTACTGCTGGACCCTGAGCCTGGGCCAGGTGGGGGCATGGCCCATGGCACTACTCGACACCTGGCCGCGAGATATGGGCTGCCTGCTGCCTGGTCCACCTTTGCCTATTCGCTGCGGCCAAGTCGCTCGCCGCTGCGGGCTCTGATTGAGATGGTGGTAGCAAGGGAGCCCTCTGCCTCTCTGGGCCAGCTTGGCACACACCTCGCCCAGCTAGGGCGGGCAGATGCATTGCGGGTGCTGTCCAAGCTTGGCTGATCTGGGGTTTGTTGGGCTTAACACTCAATAAAGAACTTTGTTGACTACTAAGCCCAGTATACAATTAGCACTGAAGTACTTCTTGAAGTACAATCCTAATTAGGCAAAGACCCAACAGCTATCCTCACTGCTCTTTGCCCTAGAAGGGCCTATTCTAACATACAAACAGGGCCACATGTGGGAGGGTTGACCCCAGGTGCCTCTGGGCCACCAGAATCCCCTCTGGGCAACAGCCCTGCTACAGACACGTGCTGTGTTCTGT